AAATGGCCTAAACATATGTCTGTGCCAGCAGGGAATTAAAAAGGTAGGTGGTTGAAAGTTGACTAAGCATGGTAGAGGGAACTAGGTCCAAGACCCTCAGCTCTGTCTGGATAGCTGCCAGATCTTTTTCCCATGACCCTCCCCAGGGAAGGACTTAAGAGGAGGAAATGACGCGTTGTGGGTTATAAGAGGAACAATTGAAGGAGACTGCATCTTCTTCTCCGAACAGTGAGCCACTGTAGCCAACCAGACAGCGGAATGAGGTCTTTCCCTGAGATAAGGGACAGACCCTGCAGATGATGGCTGAAATGACCTCGGGGTGTGTACATCCCCGGCCCCTTCACCAGCGTTCATCAGAAGCTGATGAACGTGACTCAACATGTGAACTAACGAAATGGGAGTAGGTGAAGCAGGACTTGAATTTTCATTCCCATCAGTAGGAGGGGGAACTTGTGTTTATTCACAGGAACGCCACAGCTGAGTCTGAGGGGACAGGCTATTGTTTACAAGAGAGCCTGTGATGGGGAGAAATCACTAAATGCACACCCAAGAGCCCCAAATTCCTGGTATCCATGGCCAATAGCTAGCTCTTGTGACTTCCATTTCCTCATCAGTAACAACGCAAAGCCCCTCCCACCTCACCACATGCTTTCAGAAAGCAACTGACACAGTGTGTGTGTGTGTGTGTGTGTGTGTGTGTGTGTGTGTGTGTGAGAGAGAGAGAGAGAGAGAGAGAGAGGTGTGTGTGTGTTTTTTTAAAAAAATAAGAAGGTGGAGAGAGACAGTGTGTGTGTGTGTGTGTGTGTGTGTGTGTGTGTGTGTGTGTGTGAAAGCCCATTTAAAGAAACGGAGTGCTAAATAAAGGCTAGAATACTTGTATTTGATGCACATCTGGACCAGAGGTGTAGTTTCCTAATGTTTGTCCTGTGGTGGATCCGCCCCCTAATCTAAATCCTGATTTGAGGAACGCTAACACTCTGGAACTTTAAGCAGGAAACAATGGTGACTTCTACACTCACTGTGCCTTCTCTTTCTAGGCAACTAAGAGAGCTTCTATAAGGCAACGGATTGACCAAAGCAATCCCCACAACAATGTGTTCCACAGCGTTCTGAAGATCAGTGACGTGCAGAGCCACGACAAGGGACTCTACACTTGTCGTGTGAAAAGTGGATCATCATTCAGGTCTTTCAACGCCTCTGTTCATGTGTACGGTAAGCAGCAGAAGTTTGACGAGCAGACTTACCCTGTACTTGCTGAGCACTCTAGACATTAAGAGTTGGCAAAAGGAGGCCTGGAGAGATAGCTCAGAGGTTAAGAGCCTTGCCTGCTCTTCCAGAGGACTCGGGTTCGATTTCCAGCACCCACATGGCAGCTTACAACTGTCTCTAACTCCTGTTCCAAGGGATCCAATGCCTTCATACAGACATTCATGCAGGCAAAAATAAGTCAATGTTCTTTTGGCTAAGAGTTATGCAACCATGAACAAAGGCTGCTTTCACTTGAGCCCCTAAAGGCAAATTAAGCCATTTCATAGTTTTTAAATTGAATACTTTTGGGAAGAGGGGGTGGAAAGATTATAAGAGTCTGAGGTTTGGGGGAACCAGAGCAAAACAATGTCTTGTGGATGTGACAAGACCTCAGCACTCCTGAACCCTCAGCAGCTGTGGTTGCTGGCACAGAGTCTACACAAGACTAAGTCAGTTAACATTCCCACATGGATAGGGAAGGGATTCACAAGCCCACACCCCTAACTGAGGAGCTATGGACAGCTGATGGCTACTGGGGGAGGGAGAGTCAGTTTTCCTTAAGGGTGTGGCCAATTGTAGGTCAATTGTGCCCCCAACGGATGGCCCCACACCCAGAAGTATATGCCAGCATGAGCTGGAATTGATGGGTAATTAAATAAAAGACAGGATATGAAGTTGGGCAGTGGGGAGATGGGTTAGATCTGCAAGGACTTGACGAAAGGAGAAGGGGAGGTGAATATGATCAATATATACTATATGAAATTCTCAGATTAATGCTAACTTTCAAAAATACTACTTTTGATTTGGGCAGTTTTGATTTTACATGCTTGCTCCAGTTAATAATGTAGACTGTAGGGCAGTCATGACTTCCTCATTTACTGTCCCATATAAGCAAAACAGAACCCATTGATCAGTCTTACCTTATCTGGGGGAAATCTCCCTGATACTGCCATCAAGTAGATGTAGAAAATTATAATAAATCACATGGAATTCATGATCTTCTACTTCCGGTTTAATGATCATGGAATACCCAAATGGTTGCTTAATTATTAGATGTAAATTCTGTAAGGACAAGTGCAAGGCTTTGTGTCCATTGTTGCAAAGGAAAACAGTGTTCTGAGAAGAGCTCCATGCTATCAGAGGCACTTTCGTTTTTTTTTTTTTTTTGTTTTGTTTTTTTTTTTCAGATTTTCTATTTGAATTAGAAACAAGATTGTTTTACATGACAATCCCAGTTTCCTTTTCCCTCCCAGCCTCCCCTACTACCTCCCCCCACACACACTAAAACCCTATCTATCATATATCCTTTCTGCTCCCCAGGGAGGGTGAAGCCTTCCATAGGGTGTCATCAGAGTCTATCTTATCCTTTGGGATAGGGCCTAGGCCCACACCCTGTGTGTCTTTGCTCAGGGAGTATTCCTCTATGTGGAATGGGCTCCCAAAGTCCACACCTATCCTAGGGATAAGTACTGAACTACTACAGGAGGTCCCATAGATTTCCGAGGTTTCCTCACTGAAATCCATGTTCCTGGGGTCTGGATCAGTCCCATGCTGGTATCCCAGCTATCAGTCTGAGGAGCAAAAGTTCCCCGATGTTCAAGTCAGCTGTTTCTGTGGGTTCCACAGCCTGGTCTGGAGCCCTTTGCTCTTCACTCATCCTTCTCTGTATCTGGATTCCAGTTCAGTTCAGTGATTAG